TTTGAAAAAGTAAAATTTTTGTAAAGTAGTACTTAAAATGTGGTATTTTTAAAAAAAATTTCAAAAAACAGAGTTTTAAAATTTTTAATCCCGCCACAATAATGAAATGATATAAGCATTGTTTGGTTTACAGCTACAACGTCTCAGTCACTTCTAAATATAATAATAAAATATAAACCCTAAACCCCCAAATCGATTTAAAAACTCTCTAGCTTCTGCAGAGAGAGAGTGACGAAGACGAAGATGATCAATGCCTTACAAATCCTTCCATCTTCGTCAACTCTTTTCCTTCTTTCCCTTTTCTCCTTTCTTCACGCTGCTAAATGGGAGGCGATTATCTTCATCCCCTCCCGCCGGAAAATGCTTCGGTTTCTGTCACCGTCGAAGATACTAAGCTTTCCGATGCTCCGGTTCTGTTGTTCGTTTACTTCCACAAGGCTTTCCGTGCCCAGCTTGTCGAGCTCCGGGGTTTCGCTACTGAAGCCGCCGCAGACTGTGGCTTTACCAGGGATCTGGCGACGGAGCTATACCGGAAGTTTGAGTTTTTGAAGCTTGTTTATAAGTATCATTGCGCAGCTGAAGATGAGGTAATTTCGATATAGCTTCTTTCTCTGTTGATGATTTTGGTTAATCCTGCGTCTTTACAGATAGATTCGAGTTTTTATAACTCTCTTGCTTGCTCGAAGCTAATCCAACGAGAGAATTGATTTGTTTTGTTAGATGCTTTGTCTTTTGAAAAATTGTCAGAAGAAACCTGTGAAAAGGGGTTCTTATGAGTTTCTAATGTCGAATTGATGATATTTTTGGAGGAGATTAGTACAGTGAGGTTAGCCAGATTGGGAAATTTTGCATTTTGGTGCTATTGATGCCTACTATAGAATTCACACAGGAGCTTGAGTTGTTTGGTTTTCGAATGGAGCTATTAGATTCTGGAACAAAAGAGGTTATACTGGCGTTTTCAGTTCACTGTAGTTCTTTTAAAGTTCCCTCCTTTGGCTTTACCTACATACCTTCCTCTTTATTTTCCGTTGTTTTTGGTTAGACTTAGGTTTCTATGTTAAAGATCTTGTCCAGATTTTATAGAGGATGTAAATACTTAAAAACTTTTGTTGCTTCTCCAATTTCAGATCGTAAAGTTTTGATGTTAGTATATTGTGAACTTTTATTCCTTATCATGATAATTGACAGTGGCGTTTGAAATTATTTCTTTGAATGGCAGGTTATCTTTGCGGCACTCGATGCACGTGTCAAGAACATTGTTTCTAATTATTCGCTTGAGCATGCTGGTACAGATGATCTCTTCACCTCAATTTTCCATTGGCTTCATGTTCTTGAAGAGGAAATAGGAAGCATAAGTGATGTTCTTCGTGAAGTAATATTATGCATAGGCACCATTCAGTCATCTATATGCCAGCATATGCTTAAAGAAGAGCGGCAGGTATAGTTTTGCTTTCCATAAATGATCTACTCTTTGAAGTGAGAATCAGAAACTATCTTAATGCCTCCATTTTAGCTTGTGATTTTCACCTTTCCTCATATACAGTATACACTTTTGCTTCTCATGACTGCCACTGTAATTTGATTTCTCTGAGATAGAGTGCAATCAATGGTTCCATTTAAAATTAATAAATGTGTAATTCACACGTACCCTTCATATTCATGAGGTTTATGCAGACATTGTCCCATGGTGTTAGAACACTTGGTAGGAGGATATCAATGTTGGACTGTCTGATAAAGTGACCAAAATTTCACTAAAAATGTGGGATTTGGTGGATTTTTGCAATATCACGTTCAAGTACTACTGATACTTAATATAGATCTTTGCAAATTACGTATATAGCTTGACCTCCCAGAACACCAATGAGCTATTTATGGAAATAACACTTCAGTGATAGATATTCTATCACTTTCTTTATAATTGGATCAAGTTGAGGCTTATAACTAATAAATCTCCTTGGGAATTGGTAGTTCTCAGTTAGGACTTTTCACTTTAGATTTCTGTATATGTTTCCTCCGTTCATAACTCCAGCAATGCTTCATGCAGGTCTTTCCTTTGTTAGTTGAGAAGTTCTCTTTCCAAGAACAGGCATCACTTGTGCGGCAATTTATTTGTAGTGTTCCAGTGATGGTGCTAGAAGACTTTTTGCCATGGATGATGTCTTATCTCTCTGACGAAGAGAAAACGGAAGTTGAGAATTGCATGAAAAATGTTGTCCCAACTGAAGACTCATTGCAACAGGTATATCCTTTGCTGAGTTATGCTCTGTTTTCTTTCAGCTTTGTAATTCTGATAAGATGAAATAATATTTTAAAGGTCATAAGCTCTTGGCTGCTTTACGATAGTCAGTCTTCTTTCGGGGCTCCTACAAAGATCATGAAAGAAGTCCAGTATGTCGATGTGTTGAAAAATATGAAGAATGCCTCTCAGACACATCCATCCAGCGGATGTTTTCAACGCTTTTGGCAGTGGAGTAAAAAGTCTCTTTCTATTCTAGATGTAGGACACAACCCGATTCATGGTCTCGAGCTTTTTCAGCATGCAATTGAAAAAGATTTGAGAGACATTCAGGAAGGATTATGCCAAGCAAATTTCCCAAGCCTAATTTCGGACCTTGATGTACCGATGGCTCGATTAAACTTCCTTGCAGATGTCCTTGTTTCTTATAGGTAATAGTTTGTTGGATAACTTGTTTTTCGTCTTTGGTAATGTGCCTAGTCTCTTAAAACCTGTCTTGTTTATTTTCCTCCTCCTCTCTCTGAGTGGGTTACAGAATGCTTTGCTTTGTTACAGCAATGCATTTAAGAAGATCTTTCACCGGGTGTTAGAAGAAATGACAGATCGCCGCTCTTCAACTGCCAAACAATTCACCATAGATGGCTGTCTCGAGAATTTTCAGAGATTGCTATACAAAAGTGCTGATGATAAAATCAGGACGGACAATTTTCTATTGAAGCTTCAGGAGGAACTTGAGGCCCTTATAGTCCAAGTAACAAAGCACTTCTCCGTACAGAGAACAGAGGTAAACTTTTTGATACTCCTATACAACTTCGTCCGTTTGGATTTTCAGTTGATACTTAATGGAATAAGGATTAATATATTGGAGTTGAATTTGTTTCTCTTTAATTTCCATTTGCCTTGTATGTTATATTCAAGTTTTTCGCTCACTGTTCTCCAGGTATTCCCAATCATTAGCAAGAATTGCAACCATGAAATGCAGAGGCAGCTCCTATACACAAGCATTCATGTCTTACCTCTTGGATTGTTAAAGTGTGTCATACTCTGGTTTTCTGCTCATCTGTCAGAAGGGGAATCTCAATCCATTCTTTATTTCTTAAGTTTGGAAGATTCTTCTCCCAAAAAATCATTTGCACAACTCTTGTTGCAGTGGCTTCGCTTTGGCTACTCAGGCAAAACCTCTGTTGAAAGTTTTTGGAAACAGCTGTCCGTAATGTACAAAGTAAGATGCTCCTGTCGAAAAGAGCACACTGAAGAAGCATCTGGATCCATTTCCCACCAAGCACAGCTGCAACCATGCAAAGGATCTAGAGTTGATTTGCATGTATGTGTTGGGAAAAAGAACAAGTCTTCAACCTGCTTCCTGATAATGCGGGCTGCTGGAAACATGTATGACGAGACACCTTACTCTAGCCGGATGAATCAGCAAATGCTTTTCTCGGGGAAGCTTAGGCCTCCTCTCCACCTTCCAGAATTTTTTGGTGAGAAGAATATGGATGATCCATTCATTATGGACGACGTAAAACCAATTGATCTCCTTTTCTTCTTCCATAAGGCAATGAAGATGGATCTGGACTACCTTGTTTGTGGATCAGCTAGATTGGCAGCCGACTTCCGTTTCCTTGGGGAGTTTCAACAGCGATTCCATATGATAAATTTCCTGTATCAGATACATTCTGATGCAGAGGATGAGATTGCATTTCCAGCTCTGGAGGCAAAGGGAAAACTGAAAAACATTAGTCAGTCATTTAGTATTGATCATGAGCTAGAAATTAAACACTTCGATAAGGTATCATTCATTTTGAATGAGATGTCAGAACTGAACATGTTGGTTTCTACGATTAATTCCAGTGCAGCAGACCACCGAAAGATGAAGTATGAGCGGTTATGCCTGAGTCTTCAAGAGATATGCAAATCCATGCACAAGCTATTGTCGGAGCATTTCCAACATGAAGAAACTGAGCTCTGGGGTCTATTCAGGAACTACTTCACTATTGAAGAACAGGAGAAAATCATAGGATGCATGCTTGGGAGAATAAGTGGGGAAATATTGCAGGATATGATTCCCTGGTTAATGGATTCTTTGACCTCTGATGAACAGCATGCCGTGATGTCCTTGTGGCGCCAAGCAACAAGGAAAACTATGTTTGTCGAATGGTTAACAGAATGGTACAACGGTCATTTTATACAAGAGGAAGCAAAAGAAGCAAACAACGATCCATTTGGGGATTCAGATCCACTGGAGGTTGTCTGGAAGTATCTCTTTGAAGCATCTTCTGATGGGGATAGAGTGAGCATTGGAAGCAAAGTTGTCGAACATTCAGAGACAGACTTCACAGGCACCATGGATAAGTCAGTTGGAAAGACTGCTCCTAATAACAAAGTCGAAGTTGGCTACAAAGGGGGCGAACATGGGRAACTTTCAGAAAGTAAAAAGATATGTAGAGGAGCTGAAAAAAATGAGGACAAGGAACAAATTGACAGCAATTGCCAGATTCAAAATCCTACTCAAACTTTTTCAATGTCTCAGGCTAGCCAGTTCGGTCAATCCAGGAAATATGAACAGCTGTTAACAATGAGTCAAGAAGAACTAGTAGCTATGATTAGAAAAATATCATGTGACTCTTCCTTGGATCCTCAGAAGAAATCATATATCCGGCAGCATTTGTTAATGAGGTAGGCCCTGCTACCTCTCTCTTTTAGAAGAAAATCTTGTTATCCTGTTGAAACATATATAGGCTGAGAAGTCTGTCTAGTCTTTTACAGAATTATACTAAAAAGAATTGTAAGATCATATTAAATTTGCAAGATCATTGTCAGTCCAAATCATATTAAATTTTTCCTTCTCATGTCGAGACTAACATTATGTCAGGTACTATTTTTCAGCCGTTGGATTATCTTGCAGCGGATATATAATCTTGAACCATCAACTCTCTCAAGCAATATAGAAACAGTTCCTGGTCAGCATCCATCTTATCGAGATCCTCACAATTTGATCTTTGGTTGCAATCACTACAAGAGGAATTGCAAGCTTCTTGCTCCTTGTTGCGACCAGCTCTTCACGTGTATACGATGCCATGATGAAGAGGCTGATCATTCGGTGGATAGGTAGTGTAATATCTTCTACTTCAATGAAGGAACTCCAACACCCTTAACCGTCTAGGTTCTTTTGAATTCTTATGCAGAAAACAGGTCACAAAGATGATGTGCATGAAATGCCTCCTGATTCAGCCAGTTGGTGCAAATTGCTCAAATACTTTGTGCAAGTTGTCAATGGGGAAGTACTTCTGCAAAATATGCAAATTATATGACGATGAAAGGTAACTATTCCCCTGTTTCGGCATATTAATTTTGGATGCTGCTTGGGCATATCTAGATGGATGCTTAAAAGTCTGTATTATGTTTTTCTCTGGAAAAGGCTTGTATAATTCTCTTAGGCTTCACATTAGCAAACMTGTAAAGAGACAACTGTAGGGTGATGATATACTGCTTTTGTAAAAGTGAATCACCAATTTAAGGCAAATTAGATATCTAAAGAAGTTGTAGATGTCGAAGAATTAGAATCAACTAGGAAATGCTGAACTTGAAGGACAGATGTTACAACATTTGAAACATTATTAATGGAGTCTGGTTCCAAAGGGCTTTGGTACAGATCTTGGTAGAGGCGTGATGCTTACCAAAAGTTGCTAATTATCCAAACTACGAAAAGAAATCGTAAAGTAATTTACTTCTTCACAGGAAAATTTATCACTGCCCTTACTGCAATCTCTGCCGGGTTGGGAAAGGATTGGGCATTGACTACTTCCATTGCATGAAATGCAATGCATGTATGGATCGTTCCTTAGTGGAGCATGTTTGTAGGGAAAAGTGCTTAGAAGATAATTGCCCGATTTGTAATGAGTACATCTTCACCTCCACCTCCCCAGTGAAGGCTCTTCCCTGCGGTCACTTGATGCACTCGACATGCTTTCAAGTAATTAACTCTGTCAAAATATGCTTTTGGGTAATAATGAAAACTTGACTTGTTGCTACGATGATTACTTACGGTTTGTTCTTTGATTCTGGTGGTAGGAGTACACATGTTCACATTACACATGCCCTGTCTGCAGCAAGTCGCTAGGAGATATGCAGGTCAGTTACACCATTTTCAAAACAGAGTATTGTGTTCCCTATAAAAAGATTAGTAACTGCATCAAAACGCTCTCACAAGTCACACTCACACCATTTATAGTTCTCCTCTTTGTCTGAAGTCACTGTGCTCGACTTTGTTGAAGCAATGAACACTGCTCAACTGTTCATTCACTAATCAAAGAACTGTTTCACACAGGTCTACTTTAGGATGTTAGACGCATTGCTTGCAGAAGAGAAGATGCCTGATGAATACTCCAACAAAACTCAGGTTTAGATCTCTCTCTCTCTCAAATCTCTTTATCCCTAGATGGATTATTAAAATGCAAGAATAAAATGAATGAAGAAATTGTTTGGTGCAGGTGATACTGTGTAATGACTGTGGAAGAAAAGGAAATGCTCCTTACCATTGGCTATATCACAAATGCACATCTTGTGGCTCCTACAATTCCAGGCTACTTTAGATCCTTCCTCCAATTATCTTTTTTCCATTCACATCACTCTAGTAGAATCAGCAGTCTATGTAGTACATGACTGGTAAGAAATGTAACATTTGTTGTTGTACAAAAATAAAACATACAAAAAATATTCCAAATGTTAATAAATTTGGGTATTATCACCCTCAAAATATTTTATTCATAATTACTCCCATTACCACCCATTGCAACAGAAGATAATGTTGACATGAGAACAAAAATCTGGAGATAAATTCCAGTTATCACTAACCTTAAACTTATGAAATACAAAACCGAACCACTGAGATTCGACCAAAGATCAAATCTAATAGGCCTTTAAAGAAAAACTAAACAGCAAAAAATCTATAACTAGAGCAAATGCATCCTCTCAACATATGATTCAAGCAACCAATTCTTGAGAGGCTCCCCGCATCCAACAAAACAGCCTGAGTTCCCATTCTCAGTGAAGAACGGGAAGTTGAAGATGTTGAGCAGTTCCTCAACTGCTTGTCTCACCATCGACGTGCCCGTGACTCTACTTCGTCTTCCCCAACCAGTTACTATATCTATTCGTGAAGGACATTCTCCTGAAACTAACATCTGCTTACGGAACCATGCAAGTGTCCTAGACAGAGCGATGACTGCAGTTCCTTCTGACATTACATGGAGGTTTATAAGCCAATAGCTGCAGCTTTTCTCCCTCAATGCATCTGGATACACATTCTTAACTGCAGCAACTTCCCAGACCGAACCCGCCTCTTCTTTTAAACCTGACTTGTGGAGAAAATCCACTACTGCATCCATAAGTCCCCGCTTGCTCTCCCTGTCCTCGCTGTGCATAAAATCAAGGAAGCTGCTGACATGATCACGCACTTTTTGACCATCAGGACCTGCAGGTGGCATTCTGAGAAGAAACAAGTGTGCGGGATGACCTGAGACTGCCATTAGCTCGCAACAAAAGCCCATGTCAAAGTTTGAACGAGCATCTGTGCAACTACTCAATAGCAATGTGTATGTTTGCAAAGAAGCCTGTAGACCAAGGGCAAGCATGCTTTGTAATAAATTGCGGGCTTCAGACAGCCTGTGGACCCTAAGGAAAGTACTGAGAAGGGAATTGCATGTGGGTACATTAGGTCGCAGACCAGCGTGAAGCATTGCTTGATACCACTGCCAAGCTTTTTCCACATTGCCAGCTTTTCCCCACAAGTCAACCAAAAGGCCATAAACCGGTTCATCAGGAATCCAGTTCTTATGTTGCATCTCAGTGAAAACACCCTCTGCTTCCTCGAGAAATCCACAGTGTCCAAACACCTCCATAACGATACTGTAAGTCACTTTATCGGGTCGAAACCCGGCAATTTTCATGTCTCGGTAGAGCTTCAACGCACTCTCATAATTTCGCGCCTTGGCATGCAAAGCTATCATGATGTTAAATGTAACCAAATTAGGGGTACAACCTTGACCAACCATTTCACAAAAGAGCCTATGGGCAGCAGGTAAATGGCCCGCTTTTCCAAGACAGTTTATTATCACACTGTAGGTGAAAGTATCGGGAGAAAGCCCCGCTGCTTGCATTCTCTGGTACATGTCCATAGCAATGTCAAGATATCCAGCTTTAGCATGGATGTCTATAAGGGTACAGTAAGTTACGCGGTCAGGCTCACATCCAGCCTCTTGCATTTGATTGAAAACATTCAAAGCTTCATTGAGGTAATTTGCACGACCATAGCTATGAATAAGTCGGTTATATGTAACGGTATTTGGCTGACATCCATCTCTGACCATCTCATCAAGAAGCTTTTTTATCGCACCGAATTGCTTTGCACGACCAAGGTTACCTACCATAGTGGTATAAGTATGCCCATCATGCTTAAACCCAGGTTGCCTTTTCAGCCAATAAAAGAAACCAAGCGCATTCGCATAATTATCCATCTGCTTAAGCACTTGGTTTGCTTGGTATGCATCCATCCTGAAACCAAAATTATGAAGGGCCTCTTCAGCAGCAGGTCCCCATTTGAATCTCCGCAATATATTAGAAACATTTTCTATGGCATATCCAGAGTTACAATACTGCCTAGGTGTTGGAGCAGTCCCTGGTGTCACTCTCATCATTTCCCTTGAAGGTTTGCTGAAACCTTCAACAGAAGATTTCATCGTCCTGTCATCCAAAACTTGCACATTATAGCCACAACCACCCGACGCATACCTGGTTGAATCAACATTGGTTCTTTGCGGCATGCTTTTCCTCTTTCCGGGTGTGGGTAAATCCTGAGCTTCAAACGAATTCTGTGCCACTTCATTTGAAGCTTGCTTCAAGCCTTTGACAAAGCCAGATCTTTCAGCTTCCTTAGAACCCCGAGAGTTGTTTATAGGTACTTGGTCTGATTTATCGTTGGAAGCAGACCTAGGGTGGACTTTAGCGAGGTCCTCTCTTCCGATGACTTTAACATTTGAAGACTTTACACTTGTAATAGGCCGAGTAGGATCTACCATACAGCTTTTAGGCAAACCAACAACTTCAGTTCCATTGGATAGAGGGATCTTATAGTTTGCTATATCTGACAGGAAATTTACAGTTCCAATACCAGCCTTGAATATCTTATCCCCAATAGGTGCCACGATGTCTTCTTCAATAGTAACGGAAGCATGGTTTACAGAATCTGATTTCCCCGGCAAAGCAGGAGAGGAAACATGCTGCGGAAGAAGAGATGGTCGGGTGAAATGCTCAACATTCTTCGGGACCACCGTCTGTTTACCAGCCTCTACTGGTAATATAGTTCCCGCTAGTCCAGCTGCTAAATTAGTCGCCCTTTTTCCAGTCTGTACAACTTCATTCCTGATTTGCTGGCGTCTTGAGACACAAATTTCATCTTCAGTGGATGTGCAAGAATTTCCATCAGCTGCACTAGACCTTGTTCCGCTAAGAAAAAATGATCTTGCCGAACTGGATAGATTACTGATCTGCTTTGCACGAATCATTGTCTGCAAATAACAAAAGAAACACAAGCTCAAAGAAGGCTCACAAAGATTCAAATTTCAAGCAAAAAAAAAAAAAAAAGAGAGTGTTCCCTTAAACTATCTTAGCAACCTATTACACACTACCTGATATCTCTCACCAGAAATATGTCAACGGAACCACCAACGCTTAGTAATTAGGTCTCAATGCTTGGTCGTGTAACCAAGTCATGAATTACAAAACAAAATTACATTTTATTAGCCATCTAGCTCTCTTCTTCACAGAGCTGGAAGACGATCTTTGTCCCTTAAAAGTTACAACACACTGAGAAACTCTGTACATTACTTATTCAAAACTAGTCTTTATTTTGGTATAATTCACAGAGCAAACCATTTAACAGATTGATAGGCCTTCCATTATTCTCTCAGATTCTCCAGAAAGTATCATCTTTTCACACACCAGGAATCCCAAAATGACCATAACAAGAATATATACAACAATGACTAATTCAAACAATTATATTTTTCGACATCCCAATTTTGAGAGAAACTCTAACCAGTTGCTTAAAATCATTGTGCAGTCACCACATTGAAACTGAGCCTCTGTTAGAATCTCTTCCCACCTATCTGATTCACATTCAAATCTTAAAGGAAATTGATCAAACTCAAAAAGAGAAAAAATCTAAATTAGAGTCAACAATTAAAACATAAAGTTAGACACTTTGAATACGTTTAATCTCAGAACTAACTCTCACAAAACTGAAAAACAAACCCCAGTTCCAAACTCGCCGAGAACAACTCCGATCACCGGAAAATCAGAAAAACCCAGAAATCTGCGGCATTTATTGCTAAGAAAGGAAAAAGATTTCCGTCGGAAAAAGTAAGACAGAAGCGAGATCGACAAAGTCACCTTCGAAACGATGGCGTTTGACTTCCTTCGTCTTGCTTCGTTTTCTCCCCAGAAAACAAACAAAAAAACAAATCTTCAGGGGAAAATAAGAGAAAAGAAAAAAGGCGAATTTGCCTTCTCCTTTCTCTGTGGCCGTCAAATATGGAAGCTTTGAAGCTTTTGTTTTGCTCTCCAAGTAAATTTGGTCAGAGGAGAGAAGCTTACGACCTTGCAAAGGTCACGAC